ACTATAAATTGAATAAGTCAAAAAATACAGGTTGGATAAAAGTTACAGTGCAGGTCTAAGAATAGGAATATTACAACAAGCAGCGACAAAACAGAACTGATGGCTTTTCACCAGCCTAGGAAATTTTAAAGATAAAGTATTTACTAACAGTACGTTGCAGCCGACATAATGCAGAGCGTCCTGAGTAGATCGATTCTTAGATAGTGATTTGGAGAACATAAAACTAAAGCTCACGAGAACGCTGCTGTTTACCATGTTTAGTGCAGGGACTATCTTGGGGGAGAACAGAACTTGTTCACTCTAGCGTTTTTCTTCTATCTGTACAGTAGACCCTGAGAGATCTGAGTGAGGTACTTCATGCAAATTTTAGGTGCAGTGAGGCTTTCACAGGTCCTCTCAGCATAAAAAATCTATGGCATTATGTTAGAGGCTGATAGCCAATCTGATTCACAGAGACACCGCTGCTTGCTGATTAGTCCAATACGCGACTAACAGCAGTAATTTTTGAAATCTATTCTTTGACACAACGAACGACTAGGAAAGGTGGATCACATCATCCTGTTCTGAGAGAGTCTTATACCACTGGTTCCGTGGAGATGTACACAGAAGGTATATTTAAACAAATGATCTCTTGCTGCTGGTTACCGACGCTAATTAGCCACACACATCAATCGCTGCTGAAAATTTTGAGAACCATGTGCCAAGCGTCTCCCAGGCTCTTCTAGCGGACTCTGAGCGTATGTCTTGTTGTACGACTTCCCCAGCGAGTGCGAGGTGTAATCTCGAATACAGACTATCGAGTATCGTCATACAAACAGTGTCATATTTATTTAGGCGACACACACAATGATGATAGCCAAGCGAGCCACTTCTTTCAGCAGATAAGTCCTCCAGTCTACCGGGAACACATAGACTAGCATGGACAAGTTTCCAAATCCTGCTGTGACATTAGTCTTTTAACCTATGTTCTTTAGGTGAATAATAAGCTGATTTAGTAAAACTGTTTTAATGTGACGTTGAAACTCAGGTCAGAGTCCATGAACTACACCTAGATTTCTGGACTTTATCTGTTGTTTTGAACATTGCAGACTGAAGCTCAGCGCTACTTTAACGTTCTGCCTTGGCTCCCAAAAACCATTACCTCAGTTTATCTTTGTTTATATTGGGGAAAGTTCCTGACACCATCCAGTCATTGGATTTGTAATAGACTTACTTAGTGTTTGAATTGAGCATAAGTCTCCTGGTGAAATTGTTACGTACATTTGGTGTGTCATCTGCATAGCTATGGTAACTTATTTCGTTGTTCCTTCATATCGAGCCAGTGGTAGCAGTAGACGTAAAAGAGAAGAGGCCCCAAGATGGAGCCTTGAGGTACCCCACATGTCATTTGTCAACTCATATGTGTATTTACCTATAGAAACAAAGTTGTTTCTGTCCTTTAAGTTTAAGGGGCGGAGGGTCTTCTCTACAGCTGGCCTGATTGTGAATCGCCTCCGCACCCGCCTCCCCCCTGAACATGTAGACATGCTCATATTCTTAAACAAGAATGAGTATTGAATAGCTGCATTCTGTGCATAGGCCCTGTTATGGGTTGTTGATCTCTGTTGTAATAGGGTTACGTTATTATAACCCGTTATGTTGTTTGTGTATGATCTCTCTTTCATTTAAAAAACAAGTTATGTTTTAAGCATGAAATCTGTAGGCCTATAGCTGTCAACTGTTCAAACTGTGATCACCACAAATTCGACTTGGTTTCTATACTTATTTGGACATGTATTTTTATTTTTTTGTAAAATTCCCACATTCTTTTTTTTTTATAGGATATGTATATTTCGGCTAATCGGTTAACCGTTTTTTTGGGGGTCGAATATACATTTGCTTTCAAATTCCCATCCCTACTACACACCTACGCAATGATTACATTCAGGAAGACTTTAGAATACAACATCTTTGGACAATTTATATACTTATTGAAAACAAGCTACAAAATGTAGTATCTTGGAAAATGCCGTTTAATACTTTTTAATAGCCTTAATTTTCGCCTAATTGATTTATCAACTTTTAATACTTTTTAAGACCCCGCGGACACCCTGACATAATAATACAGACACAGGTACAGTTCAACTTTACTAGAGATAATTTTTTTGCAACCTTTTGAAATGTACTTGAGAATGTTCCTGAATGATATGGACCGGTAAAGTACATGAGTGTTTTCTGTCCCATATTTGATTTAGATTTGGGGAATAGGAACCTTCCTTCTATTGCATGTCGTGTTTGATAGTCGTCTTTTCTCCCCTCTCTCAGACTCTCTCTGCTCTGGTGAAACTGATGAAGGAGTGTTGGTACCAGAACCCCTCTGCACGGCTCACAGCGCTGCGCATCAAGAAGACCCTGGACAAGATCCACAGCTCTCTGGAGAAGGGCAAGGAGTCGTGAGGGGGGGAGGAGCATCATAAGGAAGCTGCCTGATCTCACCGGCCGGCTCAGAGAAGAGCCCCGTGTTTGTGAAAGGAAAAAGGACGATAAAGGGGGGTCAGAGGAAAGAGTTATTCAGGTGTCCCCCAGCCTCACCCTTCTCTGTGGTTGACACCCCTCTCTCTTATGAGCTCACAGACGTTTGGACCGGCTCCGTCTGAACACGCCAGCCTTTGTTACAGGACACACACACACACACACACACACACACCTGAACTACAGACTGTTACTGAGTGTGAAGAACATGGATGGCCTATTGTAGTACTCCATCCCAATGCTTTAATGCCCGCGTAAGACTGCTCACACACACACACACACACGGTATGCAGTGTGTCTACATACAATTCAATTTCTGATCCCCAGCCAGTGTTTCTTGGCCTGTGTTCGTGGCATTCTGCTCAGAAGTGTTTCACTCATTTAGCTTTACCAAAACATGCCAACTATTGCCACAAAGACACAGATATGTTCACTTACAAGAGGAAAAGAGCCAATGGAACTACATTTGTTTGTTTTGAACTTTTTTTTAAATGCTATGATATTTATTAAACTCCAAGGCTACCACACTACTGAGGACATGTAAGACTGATGGTAGGTGAAACTGACTTTATACATAATAGGCATTTACTCTACTGGACTCTGTACACATACTGTCATTATTGGAACTAGAACTAGTAAGAAATTATTTGTTGAGAAATGGAGGGGGAAAAGTAGGAAATTGTTTATTGCTTGTTTGTTGTATTTTTAAGGAATAGGATACGGTATTTCAGATACTTGATTACCCTCATGGTCCCAGGAATAGATAAACAGGAAGTACCTGCCAATTTAACACTAGGGCTGCATCTCACTTCAGTTAAATTAAATCCTTGCGTCCCTCACTTGCGTCGTTTCCCTGCGTTTAGTCCCTCCCACCAGGGAAGCATGGAGAGACGCAAGGAAACCACGAGAAGCAGGGTAATGAGTTTGCGTCACGTGAAGCGACGTTCGTTTGTGATGACGCCGCACAGCTGATCGTCTGACAGCAGCCTGATCAGTGCATGCGCTGCATCGTCCAATCAGTGAGCGATACACAGTAAGGGGGCGGGGCGAGTGTCAGGATTTCACCGGAGGATGGTCTGGTAGTTCCTCGATTATCGCTCCTCCGTTATCGGCTCCTCGATCCTACTGGCAAAAATAAGGCCACTGGGATGCTACTCAAGATGGCGCAGACAAATCAACTTCCGGTGATACCGAGCCCGAGGAGCGAGGAAATTAAAAATAACCGAAGTGAGACGCACCCTAGGAGTATGATCCTCCCTGCAATCAGAGGAATCCAGGAGAGCTTGTTTCGGTACAGCTGACATTTAAAAGAATATCGGAGGTGAAGTTTTGTTTCAGAAAAAGAAGGCTTCCATAACAACTCTTCTCCCATCATGCCACACAATTAACTGAATAACAAACAAAAACAACATTTGTTCCATTTTAATTCAGAATGTATTTAAAAACAGATGAAGTTGAGTTGGTGTGCGGTTACAGATCTTTGCAAAGCTGGTTTTGTTTTGGAAAAATGTTGCTTTGTCTTTTTTATATGTAATAAAACATTTACTGCACTGTTGCCTCTGATATGAGTTTATAAAAGATATACACTCAGTTGCCAGTTTAATGCAGTCTATTAAAACAGCTTGTGTGATTCTGAAACATGTTTATTTTATTTCCCATTAATATCACTTAGGGTAGATTTAAAAACCTCTGAATAATTCAGTTCAACAGCAGACTGCTGTTTACAAAATATCAAGGAAACTGAACATGAAGGCAGGACTGTTGCATTAGACTGAAAATATAATTTGAAAAATAATGAAATGGAATAAGGAGTGGTTCACAGTCTTTCAGTGTTAGTGGCCGAGGTAGTTCTTAATGTTTAGCATTAACATCACTTGTGATATTCTAAGAGACTTCTACAGTACACATTTAACAGCTAGTTGAAGTGGATGTTCATCTGAAAGTAGTACTCTGCAGACAACATTGACACGACTTCCAACACCTGCATTACATGTGTGGAAAGGTATCACAAGTTAGGGCATGATCTTCCATCAAATATGGCAATAAAGTAATAGCTAAAATGCACCTCTAACCCCACAGCAGTGAGACAGTTGGGGTCATTTAAGGTCGTCTGGTAGAGTCTTGTACGGGTTGAGGATGCCCTTAGGGTCCAGCATGGCCTTGATGTTCCCCATCAGAGCCACAGCCAGGCTGGGTTTACTGTAGTAGATGTAGTTTCTCTTCTTCAGGCCCAGGCCGTGCTCTGCACTGATGCTGCCGTTACAGCTGGCCGTCCACTCGTACACGAAAGGCTCGATGGCAGCCAGAAGAGCGGGGTCTTTGGCAGGAGAGGTCACATTCAAGTGGAGATTTCCATCCCCTTAAAGTACAGATGGAAAGAAATGGCGGTACAGTGAGGTGTGTCCAAAACCACCTAAATACTGCACTCAAATGCACATGTTTTCCATCATGTAGATTGAGCTGTTATAGGGCAGGGGTTCCCAAAGTGGGGGTCGCGAGATGATTACAAAATAAAAATGGAAAATAAAAAATAAAAAAATTTCTAAAAAAATATTGATTAATTTTTTTTATAATTTAAATTTTTTTTTTATTATAAATAATAACGTTTGCATAGACATTTTCAGGGGCGGACTAGCCATCTGTATAATTTCCCCGCAACGAGGCTCCCCCTTTGACAACCCCCCCCCCC